CTCCATTTTTTAGAACAACTGCTCTAGTTAATAGTGGTGGTGTAAAATGGAGATGGTAGGATCCAGCTTCAGAACAGAGATGAGTAGATCAGTACATGAAGTCAGGTGGGAGGACTTGAGGCCAGCAATGGGGCTCCGTCTCTTCCAAATAAACCATCTGAACTGAGAGTCAAGAGGCAAAGGTTCTACTCCAGGTTCATCCACTGAACTAGTCTTTAGGGAAGCTAGTGCAGCCTATTTATGTCAGCTTATTTGTCATTTATTTGTACAGTGTAGCAGCTGATATCTGAGGCTATTTCTAGTCCTGAAATGATGTGATTCTAAAATTCTGGAGTGGGTTTTCATTAGTCAAATCTTGTCCGTATTTCCATTTCTTAGGAGGAATATGTTGTAATGCTGATGAATTTACTGCCCAAATGTCTGGGTTTCTGCAAAGGGAGATGGCAGAGAGAGAGGCCACTCTGCTTCACACTTCGGCATACATGACATTCATAGCCTAAGAATACCAAGTCCTTGGCAGAAAACAAAAAATTGCAAAAATTAGGAAGGAAATTCAACTCATTCACTCATCTTTGTTTCTGGGACTCACTATTATTCTTTCCATTATAATGGGTTAAGAAGTAAATGACATTAATTTGTTTTTAAAATGTCAGAAAGAGTACACATTTTAGTACTTAAAAAAAATCTTTTCATGTTGTCCCTTTGGGTAAATCTTACCGAAAGTGCAGATGACTGGCTTGAAATGTTGGATATTTTAAGTTGCCAATAATTTGTGCAGAGCCCATGATTACAAAACCGCAACAATTTCCCAATAGTGGAAATCTCTAATTAATCATAATACATGACAGGGTGGATTTGTTTTAAGTACATGGTCAATAATGGTTATTGCTTTAAGATCATAAACTGAGAGATTCTCTTATTGAGGCGACGTAGGTTGTCTGCAGATGGTTTGCAACATACCTCTCCACTTCTGGGTGTTAAGTCTGACCCAGTTCATTCTGCTAGTATATATCAGGTGTTTGTCCGATGTAATTTGCCTGTGGGAAGTGTATTGGCTATGAAACTCTCTCTCCTTAGTAGCTGTTTTTTAAAACATAATAATAATTAAATCACAAAATCACAAGTCTGTGTGTTTTGAATGACTGAAGCCAGGTACCTAGGCACCAAGACAAGAAAGAATGTCAACTGGGACCTCTAATGTGTATTTATATTTAAACATCAGACCTAACAGAAAACCCTGAAGCTTTACACAAAGATCGGAGCCTTGTAAGAACCTAATTAATGTATCTTTGGGTGAATGGTTGGCCTGGCACATGAGCTGTTCCAAGGGGCTCCAGGGGTTCAGGTATTGCCTAGGAAGAATAGATGCCATTGTAGTGATTCAGTGGCCCATCTGAAAGGGACATGTCAAGTCTGCTTTGTCTGGCATGCAGTCTTTTCAGACCCACTTGATAATGCTAGTGTCAATTTCAACTGAAGCGTGGGCCAGATTGCAGATAGCTTAAGCTGGCATTTCCAAGTGGTTAATTGTGAAACTTGAGAAGAGAAGGGGCACTTTCTTCCTAAGGTGGCTATTTAAATGCACTCTCTTACCTCCCAAAGCTCCGTGGGTCTCACTTTTGTTCTGTCCCCACGTAAAGTGCATGAGGAACTCAGCCTTTCCTTTTGGCAGCTTCTGTGTTGCCGTCTTTGCTGGGACTGGTTTGCCTTGTTAAAATATGCCCCGTGCACAGAAATGAAATTGTTACTGCTGGGTGTGCAGCGTAACATGGTTTGACAGTAAGCGCCGACAGCTACAGAAAACAGACTTTTATTGCATTTACTCTTTCAGAGACAAGAGTCTCTAAAGACTCACTGCCGACATTCACTTAGTTAAATCTGAATGACGCCAAAGTGAACAATCTATGCTGCTGTCTTTGTGTTCCTAGAAACAGCCCCTCTCCAGCTTGATACGGCTGTAAAACAGTCGTAAGAAGATGATTATACTCAGAATCCAAAAGGGAAGACTTCAGGCTTTTAAACCAGAACAAAAATATTTTAGGTGGGTAGAGTAGGTTAGCCACCTGATTTTCTACTTTAGCTTCCTCTGTATTCCCTAAAACACATTATGTAGAATCAAGAAGCGCGCGCAAACACACACACACACACACACGCACGCACGTACGCACACTAGTCCTTTCTAGCTTTGGTCTTCATTTAGAATTCCATGCCAATTTCAAACAAAGAAAAAGGATTTGATTTGTAGGATTCTCTCAAGCAAGCTTTAGACTCTTAACTGCCTTTTATCTTAAGATGAGTACCCAGAGAGACATTGAACAGGGAGGGGGCTCTGGGGCATAAGCTTTTCATTCTGTAGCTCTCCTGGAATAAAAATTCCATAAAGTAACATCTGTAGTAATTAAGGGCTTACATTTCTTCTCCCATTCATGTCTCTGCTAGGAGGGAAGATTACTTTCCCTAAGAGACAATAGACAGTAGATCCTGTGGGAAGAGAGAAAGAGCAGAATTAGAATTCCTTTGTTTCTAGAAGTGGAACTTTCCTACTTCAAAATGATAAATAAATTAATTAAATTAACAGTTAGAAGACTTAGTCTTCAGGACTCCAACAGAAAAAATTAAAAGGAATTAGGAATATTGTACCTAGTTACTCCTAAATATTTGGAGTAGAGAAGGATTCATCTTACCTTTCTAATCCAAATAATTTTCTGATTTGGAGGAATTTATGATTAGGCAGTGAACAAAATGCTATCTTTGTTTTTATTTTTGTTTATTAAAATTTCAGATGAACAGCCAAAACAGAAATAGACTCGGAGACACAGAGATCAGACTGGTGGTTGAGATCAGAGTAGAGAAGGGGAGGTGGGGGGACGGGTGAAATAGGTGAAAGGGGAAAAATTAGTGATAATGCTTGGCACACTGATTTGAGTGATGGTTACATGAATGTATATACTTGTCAAAATTCATTGAGCTGTACACTAAGATGTGTGCATTTTATTGCATGTATCTCATAAAACATTGCATATTATTAAGCTTAAAGAGTTTCATTTGGACGTAACATTGATTCATTTTTAAGTATTCTTCAAAATAACACATGTGCGGGTCTATTTGGGCTATTTGATTAATGAATACTAACCTATTAATTTCCTGCACTTCCAAATTAGTCCAATTAGTTTCCTACCCTTTCTTGTCATAGTAGGACTAGCTAGGTAACTTGAGGGATCCAGTGAAAGATAAAAATGCAGAGCTCCTTGTTAGAAAGTTATGAAGAATTTCAAGATGGTGACAGTAGAGTTGAAACAGAGGGAAGACTTATTTTAAGTGTTCAGCTGTGTGGTTCCATACAGGTCTGTAGCCCAGGAAGTCAGTCCTGCTTGGTATGTAGAGATTCCCCACATGTATCAATCTGAGAAAAATGTGTGTCCATCCCATGTCTCAGAAGAATGTTCATCAGTCAAGACATTTTTAAAAATTTTAGTCATAAAATAATTACAGCATGATAAATGGAATGTGTTTCTCATACTACCTTGAAATACTTGAACCTGATAGTTGAGATGCCCTTGTCTGCATTTCTCGGTTTATCTCCAAGAGTTTCTCCACGTGAACCTTATACTCCTGCCGAAGTGGTCTGCTCACTCCACCCTGTCTGAAAGGACATGGGCCCCCTCACCTGCCCTAATTATTTCTCCAGGGACCCTTCAGACCATCTGTGCCCACTTCTCAGCATTTCCCTGGGTGCTGGAATCCCTCTCGCATTTGAATTTCTGTAGCTATAATAACTGTATTACTTACTTGGCATTTGTTTACATATTCTTCCTTACTTCCTCTGCATGTAATATGGTCATGTAATATGATCCTGAGAACAGACATAAAATTTAGATGTAGGAAAGTATTAAAATCTGGGTCAAAGGGCTCCATTCCAAGAAAGCACATATTAATAACACAGCAGAAAGCCCTGAAGTATACTTTGCCTTTTAGATAAGCTTCACACATTCATATACGTTCTTTCATATGTCATATGTGTGCTGTTTCTTAAACTCATTTTTGCCTCCAGTATATTGTTGATGGGACTTAGTTTCCTTTAATCATTATCAACGCTTTGATTTTCATCTTTCCCATACAGTCTTATAAAATAATAAAGGCCAGATATAGCTAATTAGTTAGAAAGTGTTGCTGATCCTACTCAGGATATGTCAACACTGCCAATATCGACGTTATGGTTGCCTCAAAATTTTTGTTCATCAGTTAGTAGGTGAGATGCCAAAATCTGGCACAAGAAACTCAGTATAGAAATGTTGCTATCTAATATGAAAAAGTAAACGATTGTCCAAAATTCAAAATTAAGAAAACTTAGGACCTGAGGTTTGTGTATTTCTGTTCCCTCACATTTGGGACCCCAGTGGGTTTTCTAATGAAAGTTGTTATAATGACACCGGTAGTGTGCTAACCGTTCCTTTAGGCTTCAAGCAGTTGAAATAGAGCACATCTCCTTAGCTTGTTTTGCAGAGATCCTCGGCATTTTATAGCTGAGTAGCTACAATACAGCAGCTTTGGTGTCAGGACAGGCCTCAGTTAAAATCCCAACTCTGCCACTTACCGGCAAGGCCGTTCATCTTCCTTAGACTGGGAACCTTCGCTGGGATGTAGAGCAGTAAAGAGACCTGCTTTTCAGGTTTGCTGATTCAGACAGTCAACAGATGTTTACTGAGGACTTTCTATCACCAAACTTCACACAGATTAAATGAGATAATGCTTCAGTATTACCTCTGGGTGAGCACTCAGCTCACAGTAAATACAGTATGTGATACTCTTGGCAAAATGAGTTTGTGATGCTCTATTGGCCTAGCCATGGTGGTCATGGCAACAGTTGAGAAATCTGGGAAAATTCTAACATCAAGTTCTTTAGTGGCTTTCCTAGTTTCCTTTTACTTTTTCATTCTACCTTTCCTGACTATGCCCAACTTCATGAAAGTGTATGATCCCCTGTTTACTTCTTTTTCCAGAATGGAGTCTACTGAAAAATGTGAAGTGGTAATTCAACATTTTAATGGAAAATATCTGAAAACACCCCCAGGCATTCCAGGTAAGAAATACATTCAGGAACCATTTAGTAGTGTCTAGGCTTATGGCTGTTACTAGAATGAGTACATGGTAAGGTCCTGGGCTGCTCAATGTGAGGGAAAAGTTTGCTTGTATAATTATATATTTTTTAATACTAGGTAGAAGCTGATCTTTCTCAGAACTACCCAAAGCTCCTTGGTGATTCTTCTTTGGCCTTTCTTAGGAGTCTCTGCTGCTAATTCCCTAATATGAATTAAAACAACTATATAGCAAACAGGAGTTAAAAATGCGCTTGAAGTGAAGGAAGCTTATGACACCTGCCAATATTGGAATCTTGATTTCTAATTCATAAAAAAAATATCTAAACAGCAATATTCACAGTGGAATCCACAGACTGATGCCAGTTTCCAAACAGTTCTCACCAATCCATGATAAGTAGAGGACAGAAAGCATTTAGAAAACTTACAGAAATTTGTCATTGCCATGAAATCTGTAGTGCATAATTTCATATTTTATAAAAATATAATTTACTAACATACTGACTTAAAAAAATATGTCCATTCATCAAAGGTAGTTTGAGAAGCTACAGTCTAGACTGTCCCAGGGCATTTCACATTTCCCAAAGCAAGTTTCTTAAGATTTTACATACATTATAAGATTATATAACTTTATGCTATTAAGAATTATGTTCAGCATAAAAGAATTGAATCTATCACGTGTCAGGTCTTAAGCTAGAACTACCTCAACTTGGTATTAATGTGGTGGTAGTATATGTTGAAAGTATTTAATATTAGGTGAATAATTTTAAAAATACATCTTACTCATGCTTAAAAATATTAAAGATTGAATGAAATTCTTCTAAGGAAGAATTACAATACAGTGGGCAGATAAAATATCTGACTATTGCATGTTGGTTTATTTGGTGATGTATCTATGTTGGTGATTCTCGGGGGAAAATGTGACTTCTTCAGTCTTATTATAGTTTTCCTTTTGATCTTTTTAAGCTGGATCTCGATAGTGTTTGCTATGTAATGGCTCTCCTATTTAAAACCCATGGTTCAAGAGTTCAGGGATTGAGCATTTCAGTTCCTTAAAATATATTGAGATTATAGAGAGAAAGTCTGAACAAAAAGAGAAAAACTTTTGTAGAGAGCCAGGGTCCTTTATGACTTGGTTGCTTTGGGAAGGATGTCGGGAAGGGAGAAAAGGCCCTTTACGACGACACTCGGATGATCTGGAAAACCCAGAGTAGCACCTCTGGTTAATCAGAGATTCCGCACACAGAGAAGCCTGTGGCTTGATTTGGTTAGCATCCATGCCTAACATTCCCTTGAGAACTGATCACATTATGATCCAATTGGAGACATATGGTGTTGTTAAGAAAAGAGTTAGCAGTTTTCATCTCAGCATGTAAGCTGCCCTTGCATTTTAAAAGAAATACTTTTTTTTCCTTTTAGCATAAAAAAGACTTTAAGACACTCCAGTCAGACCCCCTGTTGAAAAAAGTAGTTGCTTTTGAGAGGGTTTTCCCCTTATTTATCCCATTTTACCGAACATGCCTGTACATACAGAAGGCGTTCAAACTTGGTATGGATTATATGGTTACTTAAAAAAAATTAAAAATTAAAAATGAGCAAATTTTATAGAAATGATGGCTTATTAAGTTCAAGTTTTAATAAAAGTCTCAGTTTTTTAGTTCTCTTCCTTTCAGAAAACCCTTCTTGACTTGATTGACTTAAGTCTGTTTTGTTTGGTTTTCCCCATAGACCATACAGCTGACTAATACAATTTAATGCTCAAGATAGTCAGTATAAATTCCCAAATGTCTGGGCATCCTTCCTGAATATGCAGGCTGTGATATCAACCTATCTAATATCATAGCTACACCCAATGGAAACATTGTGAATAGCAAGAACTTGGTTATGAGCTTCTTACTCACTTTTTATCTTGTGGGAACATGAGAGGCCAAATAATTATGCTCAATTAGAAAACTCTTAAGAGATACAACTTTCTGCTTCTGAGATTTGCACTCAACGTAACAGAATTCAATATATGATATTGATCATCATGAGAACTTGAATTTGCTGGTTATGCATTGCAAGTCAAATAGAGTGTAATAAAGTCTCCAAAAGATAACAGAAGATACTTGATCTTTTATATTTAAATTTGATATGTAAGAAAAAGGACATAGTGCAAAGTGTGTTTTGGAAGGCCCAGTAGTGAAATGCCCTGTCTGAATGCAATCAGGACAGCTGTAATCAAAATTGGGTTTACGCTGTTTGCCTATTGGTCATCGTTGCCTATGGTTGAAATCTAATTTTCATGAAGTCGTATCTTAATGCAATTTTCTATTCCATCTTAGAGGCTGTAGGTGGAATGTCACTATGAGCCATGTCAGATTGGAAGTTATTCTTTTAATGTTTTTGAAAGAAGTGACCAGTTTTCTAACATTTTCAATACTAATATAGCTTTCGAGAGACTGTTCCTGTTTGTGGTGTCCCAATTAAAACCAACTATAATTGATCTGACCCACTTGCACCTAAAATAGAGCTCAAAATATCATAAAAATCTCAGTGTTCCATATTATCAAGATTTGGCACCTTCAAATTCAGAAGTTTATGGTTTTGCAGAACTCACATTGATGGTTTCAGTGTAATGCTTTCAGGTGGTGTGATTGAGGGGCCCACAATGACCCCATAATGCTCTGAGATTCGCAGGACCCAACAAAGCTTTTGAAAAGACTCTACGTTAAGTCAATCTTTTTCTCATACCAGAGCCCTGCTCCCAGCGTTACCCTGCGCAAGCAGGGAACAATTGCTATCAAAATCACATTCTTAACTTCTCCATTTAGGGACAACATGGAGAAATGTGCACATGTCATAGAGCAAATATACAGTGCCATTTTGGTTTCTGAAACTCTTGACAATGATTCCTCATAGAGGACTTGCTAAGTTCATTATTTTCCTGAGATCATCTAGCTTCCAAATCCCCAATTGTGTCATTTCTGTGAAAGAACAAGGAAAACAAAACAAAACGAAACACTTCAACCTTAAACTTTGACATGGATTTGAATTTCAAATTCTAAAAACATCATAGGTATGGATATTTGCAAGGAAGTATAACTTTGACCACATTTATGTTGCTTCTATTTTGGTTACAGTCTTCTAGGGATAATGTACTCATAAAATAGGATTCATGATGGTATTTAGTTTTGATTCCTGACAGATTATGTGAGTCGGAAGGAGAATTGGTAGGTATCTTCTTTTAGCTCATGTTTTCCCTCTCTGGGCTCCTACTATTTGTTTATAAGAGATCTAATTTTAATGAATCCATCATGGATTGTTGATGTCTATTTGAGCTTCTCAGAACTAGCTGCATTCACTTTGGATAATGAAATTATCCCCAGATTTTGGTTATGTGGACCAATAAATATGTACCCAGAATCAAAGTATTTGAATTCTGGTACATATGCTACAGGAAATTAACAAACACCGGGCAGTTGGAGGTGCTGCAAGCAGGTGGGAAGGAGAGGCCTAAGTCGTGTGTTAAATGGTATCAATCATTGTAGCCATCTGCAGAAAGAGATCATCCATATTTTCTTCCTTCCCTTGAGGGAAAAGAAAACAGTGTTCCATAAATGTTGCATGTCCCACATATCGATCTTGATGTTTTCTGGACAAAATGAAGGATCATTAGTTGCTTCTCTGCCTAACCCCAGACATTTCTTTGTCCCATAATGAATTGCACAGCAATATCGCACAGTCCCAAAGCGTTTCATTTTCAAGCCTCTAGCAAAAGCAAAGGGTAAGTTCCCAGACACTTCAGGAATCTGTAGGGCATGAACTTGAAAGACTCACTTTCAAAGAGCCCCCAGAGCAGAGTGATACACTATGTGGAAAGGCTTCCACATGTAAGGACACGTATTGATGAACAGAACATGCAGGCTAGTTTGTAGAAAAATAAATCACATTTTGCTCTCAAACTAGACTTATGCTTGTAAGCACATGTTCCTATCAGTGAAGCAGTCTTTGCAGAAGAAAATGGAATAACCCACTTTTACTTTGGTTTTCTTACTCTTTAGGTAATTAATTATTTCTAATTCCAATTGAAATCCAAGAAGTAAGGAACAGTTAAGATAGAACACACCATATTCTGGGGCCTTTTTAATTTTAACAAATCTGTGATCCACAGAAATTTGAACCAATAATGAAGTGACAGAGGAATCATATTTTTCTAATAAATAAAGCAGTGTGCCTTCTGGATGCTTTGGCATATTATCTTACTCTTGTGTGTTTGTGGAAATTTAAAAAATGTGTGTGATTGTGGATATATATGTATACTTCATGGGAACATGTGAGTAAAAATATTTAAAATCTCATTTTTTTCAAAGAAAATGAAGAGAAGAAATGCTGTTAGTTTTTGAGAACTTCCTCCAGAGTAAAATATCAACAGTATACTTAAATTAAAACTTAATTAAAGGGCATGTTTCATAATTCTGAGTAACTGAGCAATAGACATACAAATTTTTATCAGTGGAAAATGTTGCACACTCTCACAGTGTTTCCTCAGCGGTAGCAGTCTATTAAGCCCACAAATGCAACAATGGCTGAGTAAAAGGCAGCAAAGAGGAAAAATACAGAGTTGATATACAGTTTAGTAAAAATGTATCTTTATGGTTCTACTTAAGCCAGGCATTGCCTAACTCTTGAGTTTTTCATCTTGGTGAGACTAAAACATCTCTTGCATAATGAACTTGGAAAACACTACCACCCCCAACCAGGTATCAGTTTAGATTTCTCATTTATAAGAGGGTTTTTGCAATACTGAAGAGCTGCCTTCTGAGAAGGCTCTCATCTTTAACATCAGTGATGATTTCTGTGCTCCACCCACATAGTTATTTCCTGATGAAACACTGTTAGAATATGTTTAGTGAACTTCACTGAGCCAACTGGCATTGTCATGGTCCAAAGAGTCTTAGAGTCGGTATGAATTCTACGGACGTGGGCTTATTCAGTCACTTCT